CGAAACCAAAAAACCAAAAAAACAAAGCTTCACGGAGAATGCTGGAACAGTTTTGTTTTTTTGTTTTTTTGGTTCTTTGGTTTATCCCTTATCTTGCAACACTACACCTGTCTATATGTAATTCCCTGAACCCCCAAACTTCCAGCCGAGGACTGCAAGGGCTTCAATGTGTGGGTTCAGGGTTTCGGATTTATGGGTTTGGGTTGTTTCATATTTTGCTGTTGTTTTGGGGTTTCATGGGATTGAGGGAATCAAACAGGAACCCGGAGGAGGAATTAGGAGCGATTTCGGAAATTTAGGGTCCAGTGTATTTGCAAGGGTCACAGTACCGGAGGCTAGTTGAGGATCGCAAGCTTAAGGTCGCATGCGCAGGGCTCATTTGGGGCATGCGCGCGGGGTTAGGACTGGAACTTGCAAAACCCTAAACCCTAAACCCTGCTAAACCCTAAACGGCCCTAAAACCCTAAATTGCAGAAGCTATCCTGAACAGATTCTCGCCCTCTTTTGGAAGTTAGGGCTATCTATACTTATCAAATTTCAGATATTCATAATTTTGAAGCCGCCGGCACACCGTGTTTATGCTTAACCCGAACACGATGTGTACATACAAGCATGATGCTAGTGTACCACCAGGCCCAACATCAAATAACAAAAAGCCGAGTCCACATTTTTTTGAGTACTCGGACTCGAGTCCTTGTTTTTTTGATGACGTAGCCGAGTCCATGATATACGAGGCCTCGGATCCAAAAGGTAAATAAATAAATAAAATATATATATATATATGTACATTATATATATATTGTGTACTTATCTAGTTGCATAGACACACATATACCTGTAAATATACCTGTGCATGTACAAGCACACATACACATACATCAACAAAGGTAAACCTAGACATACACGTACACATGCACATACATACAAAAACACAAAAAACACGGGTACTCAAAGGTGCCAAAAAATATGACATACATATATATATATAGATACATGCATGCCTGCGTGCATACATACATAATATAGACACACAGCTACATGCATGAAACATACACAAGGTATTATACATAGTCAAACATTTCAAGGTTTTGGACAACCCATCTTCAGCCACCAGGGTTTGGTCCATCATCTCCTTCTGGTGGCGCTCTGGTTGTGATTGACCCCAGGCTCTGCACCATCAGCTGGGATGGCCATTTCACACCCTTACTAGGGTTGCCACCATTCGGGTCCGGATTTGCCAGCTACATCAATCGTCGTCCTTAGATTTCGGGCCTGCGCCCCGACGTCAGGGCCTGTAGAGACCCGGGGATTAGTAACCTCTTGTCGGTTGGTCGGGACTTGTCGCAGTGGTGCTATGCAGAGAGACTGCCGTTCTTCTGCTGCCATGTGTCAGCTTTATCGATAAGGAGTGGCACGATTTTTCAACATTGGCCGTCACTGTTCACGGCTTCCGACGGTTACCCTGCTCGAGTTTGCGAACTGCTCCATGTCGCACTTGTCGCTTATCTGTCTCTCACTCTTGCTCTCTTCTAGGCCGGAGTGCGCTTGAAGCCGTGCCAGGAGGCCCAGCCGCTTGCAGCTCCGAGGTTCGGCTTCTCCAATCCGATGGCAGGAAATGGCATGGACTGCTCAGGCGGCGCCAGGTCGGCACGGTCCGCTTCCGCCAACAAAGCTTTGCCTTTGCACCGGATGGAGACCCAGCCCTCCTTGGGGCCGTTTCCTCTCAGCAGCCTGTAGCGAAGCCGGGAGGCTGCTGCGCCGCTCGAACTCGAGCTATCTGCCTCATGCTGAAACAATGCGAGCCAGGGAGGGACAGCCGTCTCACCTTCGCCCCCACTCTGTGGGCTGGGGCCACGACTAGCGCTAAAACGAGGGCGCCGAAGCTGAGGCGTCCGAGGACAGGAGTCTGGAGGCCCTGCGTTCAGAAGAAAAACAACGACTTCACCACAACGGCGCAAGGAAGCCACGAAGGGAAGCAAAAACGAACAGCACAAAAAAGCTGTGTAGCAAGGATAAGTGAACATGCCGATTACCACATCTCTCCTGGCCCTCGCGCACAAGGATTCCACAGGCGCTCTCCCCACTCTTGTCACCAATGTCACCGAGGACGCGCCACAATGCCATGGCACAGTACCGGCTGAACTCATCTCAGAACATCTCCGAACTATTCCTTCATCCTTTCGTGAATGACTTGGTTCGGGTATTAGTTCGGGTAGGGCACTTCCCGTCTGCGAAAGCCGGTGGAGGCGGAGGCTCATCTCGCGAACTTTTCAACGTGCGAAGTGAAGAAAATGCGCTGCGCGTTTTCCTGGGGGCTGGAGCCTGCCCAGGAGCTGGTGGAGGAGGCTTCGGCATCCTGTCGCCTGCGCGCTTGGGGCGAGATACAGTCGCAAGCCACCGAGGTCCCAGCGTGGCCTCACGGGGTCCGAGGGACCGGCCGGTTGCCGTGCTGTCTGCCCTTCTGCTTTAGATTCTTTGGCTCTTTCTTGCGTTTGCTGCCCGCTGTCCCACATGGTCTCTCAGGCACTGCCACAGCCGAGAGCCGGTTACAGCAAGCGGTGCGAGAAGAACTTGAATATGCTTAGTTGCCAGGCCCGTTGCAGCTTCGCAGTGAGGCTTTGCCGGAAGATTGCGACAGGCAGCCCTGAGCATCCACACGGAATAACATGACCAGGGCGCAGACTGGACTGTCGAGCACGTTGCTGGCATGTGAGCCGCTACTTTGTGCCGTGTAGCGTAGACTTAATGGATGGAATGCTGACACTGTGCGTCGTTTGTAATCCCCGGTCTGCGGGACGCCTTGAAGACCTGTTCCACGCAAGCATCTGTAGGACACGATGAGAAGCCATCCACTTTCACGGACCTCGAATCCGTTTGTGGTGGTGGTGGTGGTGGTGGCAGCTTGCACATACTAGTATACACCTCCAACAACGAGCAAAGACAAAGTAGCAATATGTTCACCAAGGATTCGTGTCATATCGAGAGCCTTGCGACAATTGCTTATCCACCAGTGTAAGTCATCGCAGACTGTAGCGGGAAGCTCCCAAAATCGACCACTGCTCCGCGACTGACCCGACCGTTCCGACCTTACTGACCTTACTGGAGTCGGCCGGCATTTTCGGCAAGTGCGCATTCCTTTTCTTCTCCCACTCCAAGAGGCTTCGCTCCGTCTGCTGAAGGGGACGCTGCAGAATCCACAACTTGACACCTACAAAGGGACTCCGCCAAGCGTCTTTCACTCGCACTGTCTACACATGTCTACACTTCGAGTATTGTAATTGACTTTCACTTCCGGCTTGGTAGGCAGAGACCACAAGTCAAGTGCACTGAGGATTGCCACTTGGAAAGGGGCTGTTCATGGTTGTCCGAGGCACAACACAGAAACCCAAGCCTATGAAGAGCTTATGTCACATCGCTGTTTCTTCCTTCTTGCTTTCGTCCGCTCGGACGACTCCCCTTCCAGACGCCCGGCTCCTGCAAAATCGCACTGCGTGGGCCATCGAAGCACTGGATGCAAATTCCAACAGAACCGAAGCAACAAGTTCGCTGAAAGTGGGGAGTCGCTTATTGCGGAAGGGGCTAGGCTATGCTAGGCTAGGCCTTACAGGCGATTCATCTCCGCATCTCGCTGCGCTTCGGAGGCCAACGAGTTTTTGGTAAAAGAGGCCAACGGGATGGCGCTCCTCGGGAGCGCCAACACATTCCCGTCTGAGCCGATGAGAATCCGAGAATCCCCGTCTCAGTCTTAGTCGTGACCGAAGCAGGGCGTGGGGGTGTGCAGGGGGTGCACCGCTGCGGTTCCAAAAGGCCTGGGCACTTCATCTCTTCATCAAGCCCTCCAGACAGTCTGCAAGCAGTGCAGATGCCGCCGATCCCGCCTCCCACTTCGGGGCAGCCATCACCGGGCGAAGACCTAGCAGCAGCATCGGATGCAATCCAAGGATTCAGCACATTGACGTCTTGCCTCCTGCCCTCGCTTGTTGGAGACCTCCCAGACACGGCAGACAGGTCTTTCGCATTGCCGTCACTATCTCGGCAGCCGCACCGGGAGAGGCGCAGAAGCTCCAGCAGCCTCAGAGAGAAGAATCGTGCACAAAGCTGGTCAGTGCGGAGGGCTGTGAAGAGCTTAGTCTGCTGCACTCCAAGGCATGGATGCGCTGCCCAGCCTTTCGCAAGAGACTTTAAAGCCGCCATCTGTGCAGATACGTGCAGCAGATGCGTGCAGCATCGAATCGCCCCCACCTTGAGCTCCAAGAGCTCATCGGCCCCAAGCGCTCACCCGCCGGCATTGTCGGGGTGGTTTGAAGCCCGAAGCCTATGTTTCCGGACACTGCGGACACTGTCTTGTCGCCAAAGGGGAAGGCGCAGGGATGAGCTGGAGGTAAGCCGTTTGCACTGGACAGGGAAAGGTTTGCCCCTGGCCCAGTGCCCGCTGGAAGGGCATTGGGCCCGACCGGCGCCACGGCTCGGGGCCCGTGTCCAACCCGACCCAGCTCCTCCGCATTCCGGACGTTCGCAGTGCCCAGCTCTGGGACTTCCGGGCCACCAAAACCTGCCAAAAAATAGGACGGTCGGCTCACGGTCGGCTCACGGCGTCTCCAGTTCTTCCGGGCCTGGTGCTTCGAGAATCTCGAGGCTTGACATCTGCGCAGCGAGTGGTTTCAGCTCGAGCTCAGAACACTTGTCCATTTTAGCTTTGGCCTGTGGCTCGCGGTAGGGCCTGGGGGTTACAAGATGCGCTGACTTGCAAAGAGCACTCATTCCTTTCAGCTTCCGGCTGCTTCGGAGGTGGTGCCTAAGCTGCCAATGGCATGCCAGAAACGATTCGTGGTTGTGAAGCAACCGAACCAATGCGAATCTGGGATCGTTGCCGTAACTCTGGGGACCTGCAGATCCCACCTCCGAACAAGACACGGATGCCTGGGGAATCCCCGTCCTATCCCTATCGGCAGAGACGTCCGTCCAAGAATCCACCGACTGTGCGAACGCATGCCTTCACCTGTAACTTTCAGCTTCGGCAGCATTGCTCCCTGGCCTCTGTTCCCGGGGCTCCTCGTCACCTTCTTCTTCGGACTCGCCTGAGCAACTTACATACAACAATGCGCATCGACTTTGTGGGTTTTTAGTCGCTGTCTTCCTCAAAACACGGTGCATGCATTGTGTGTCAGCAGTACGGAGGCAGTGTCCTAGCGAAGCAAACTCAACGAAAAGATTCTGAATTCTGAGGTCATCGCTCTCCATGAAGGAGAAGTTGGGGAAGGCCTCCTCCCAACCCCCACATCGACGCCGCATCGCCACTGCTTTCGACCCCGCCTCTACCCCAAAGGCCTCTTGACCAGACCTCGGCGCGGCAGTGGCTAGGCGAGCACCTTCTTGCCCCGTCTGCGGCAGTGGCAACTTCTCCGGAGTGGTGGAGGCCGTGGATGCAGAGCCAACGCCCTTCTTTTCCTGCAATCGAGAGACATGCGGGTCTGCTTGGCACTTCTTGCACTTCCTGCCGGTCCTCCAGTCGCTCCTGCCGGTCCTCTTCACACAAAAGCCAACAATGGATGCATCGAGCGCTCGGATCCTGGCTCCTGGCCTGGGGAGGCGCGGCAGCGGCGTCCGCATCGAACTTCTTCAGCAGTGTGACCAAGTAGGCAGGCCAGTTCTTCACGTCCTGTCGACTTGCACTTGCACTACTTGTACTGTGCATACACCGTACAGAGCCAAGATTTGGGGATCTTTCCTGGCGAGTCTTGTTCATGGTGCACTGGTGGACCATCTGCAAGGCGGCTTTTAGCCGGGCCCTTCGCACAGCAAACTGATTCGAACCGAACGAGTTACAGGACCACGCTCTCTTTGCGCGCCGTCCGCCGGAGCCGTGCAGCGCGTGAAGATGCCTCAGATACTTGAACGCACATCGCGGCTTCGGTGCTCTGCAGCACATGGTCGGACATGCTGCCCAGGTTTACACCGGCCGAGACACTGCCGGACGCGCGCGTCGAAGAACTGGTGCTGCAGCCTCGCGCGAGCGAATCTGCGAGGCTTCGAAAAGAAAGGATGATGCGCAGGCTGGGCTGAGGCAGGGGCGCAGCCTTAGCCAAGAATGCAATCAGCAAGAAAGGTTCCTGTTCTCCCTACAAGTACCTACCGCTCTTCTGAGAATGCCTGGGACATCAGGTTCTTGCAGTTACCGAGGTTTTGCTTTCAGGCTGTTCACAGATACTGCTTGTGACTGACATCAGAAACGATCGTAGACGTAATCTTTCCAATGCGTCTGGGTGCGCCAGTGTTCCCGGCACAGCTTCTTCGTGTCCCTTCACCATCAGCTCGGCAGAGGCGGAGCAACTCACTAAGGCACAAGCATTCACGCTCAGCACCGCCCGAATCTCCTGCAGATATCGATTCTTGCATCACATAGACGTCTCGACGTCTCTGACTGCCGGCCTCGAAGACCTCGTCCTTGACGCGGGGCGCTGCTTCCTCCTCCTGTCCGGGAGCTAGATGCAGACCCTCACTATATCCCCGTCCGGCACCTTCTCGGGCTTCTCGAGCGCATCTTTCTCTCCTTCCTTGGCATCCTTGCTGTCCTTGCGGTGTCCCTCTTTCGACTTCCAACCCTGCAAGGGAACGTTGCGTCCAAGTTTGCGTATGAGGCTAGACAGACGAGGGGCCTCGTGCCTCGGGCCTTTGGAGAGGGACCCACCCTAGCAAGTCGAACAAAGACCCTTGGAGGAGGCCTTGCCGCGTGACATGCCACGGCCCTTGCCCTTCGCCTGAGACAGCAAACCCCCTCTCTTCCTCAACACCTCATCAAATACAGAGCACCAAGTACAGTTCAAAGACACGGCCTCGTCGCCCTTGGCGAAGCTCATGCCGTAGCCATAGGCGGTATAGCCATAGCCATAGCCGCCAGGGCCATACCCGTAGTTCCCATACTTCCCGCTATACTGCGCCCACGGAGGGCCGGCCACAGGACTGTGGGCTGGGGGTGGGTTGGGAGGGTTGGGAGGCTTAGGAGCATTGGGAGGACCAGCGCCACCAGGCAATGGCTCCGACGGTCCCGTGTGGGCATCTGTTTCCGTCAGCCCCATGGCTGTGACAGTACCAACGCGACCTTGAACACGACAGAGAGTCATAACCGCACAAAGCTCAACACTTCGGACGTGCTTCTGAGTGCGGAACCCGTCATGTTTGGGGGCCAGAACGCAACGATCACGTGCTCTCTACGAGGGTTGCCAGAAAACCCGTCTGAGTACATTTGCAAATGCAGTGGTGTGCTTGGGTGATGCTGATAACGTGCAGCTCGCGTTCACATCTCGCAAAAGAGAATCTACAGATGCAAGTCGTTCTTCACTTCGGTCCCCTTGAGCCCGTCAGTGTTGCCGAGGCTCCCGGATTTCCCTGCCAGTTGGGGTCAAAGACTCTTGTCAGGTGGAACATGCCGGAACACCGCGCGCCCTTTTGACTCCACAAGCCTCTCGGCCTTGATTGTTGGTAGCTAGCCCAACCTGGTGAGGAAAGCAGTCAGCGCATGTGGCGCAGGTGCCAATGTGAGCAGAGAAGGCGGCGGCCTGGACAGGGTCTCCTTTGCAGCCTCACGAACGCCGCGATCGGCATCCTCACGGGCCACCACCCTGGCAAGGCGAGCAGCAAAGTGTAAACTGTCCGCGCCGCTTTGGAATGCCTAACCTCCTAATTTTTCGAAGAAAAAGGCATGCAGTGCAACATGCATGCCTCCTATCTCTTGGCCGCAGTGCCGGCTTGTTGAAATGTCCAAGCTCCGTCTGTTTCAGCTGCTCCGGTTCACCAGGCGAGCACTGAACCAAGGACATGTGCAGAGCGTGCACTGCTTGGAACATGATGGTGTGCTTTCTGCCCAGCAGGAGTCAATTCCAGAAGTCGCTGCTGCAGACCCGCTGGGCGAACCTTTAACCTGCCAGACTGAGTAAGCTTGTTGCCGGTTCTGAACGGCAGGCGGCCAAGATGCGTTCGGTGATCATCACCAGTAACCAGTACCATCATCATACTCAGCATCGCTGCCGCCTTCATCGTCAAGGTCATGATGCTAGCCAAAGAACAATCCAACCCACCATATCGTATCATCAGATCATATCATGAAATCATGATATCATCATCACCATCATAGCATCAGCATCATTATCACCAGCATCACCATGCCTAAAAGCAGCTACAAGAGGCAAAGTAGCAGCGAGAGTTATGTAACAGGTGCGTGTGCTCTGTTATTTCTTTCTGTACGGTTGCGAGGCAAGAAAAGCTTGGATATCCGGTCTGCACTGGCCTGAGGCGGTTGAGAAGGCTTTCACTGACAGGCGCCAAGGCCTCCACAGCCTCCAAGGCCTGAGACTTTTCGCGTGCATTGTGGTGTCCGCACCTGCTTCAGTTCCTCGGGATCTTTGGGACCAGGCGCGTTTGCGCACCGGCACGAAGCCGTCCTCGAACATGTCTTCGAGGAGCCTCGGCAGGCGCAGCGAGGCTCCTGTCTCTGTCAACCTGCCTTTGCCTCTCTTCCTTCCTGCCCCCCCAAGGCATGATGCATGGCATACACTCTATCCTCTATCCCGACTGAACAGAAAAAAAAACGTGAAGAAACTCTACTCCCAGGAGACATCCGAACAGAAAGGCCGACTCTGTTGGACCTGAGATGGATTAGTCAGCCGGCAAGAAGACTGCCAGAGTTCCGCTGTCGGCATCACCCCAGTGCACGGAAGGCTCGGCAGGCGCGAACACGAAGCAGCAGACGCCGCCAGAAGCACAGCCTACCAAGGGCCTACTACTTTCCGGGAGTCCGATCAACGAGCGCAGGCATATTTTGCAAGCTTTTCAGGCGCACACCGCAACCCCGAGCAAGGCCGTGTCTTTTTTCGTCGAGTGTCGCTTGTGGCTTTGGGTGGGTTCTCCTCCATTCCTTGATGGGCTAGCCCTCGGTGTGACGCTGTCATTCCAGGTAGGCACGCGCAGAAAGGAGTATAGCATAGCTTGGAATATGGCCTCTCACAGACTTGAACCTTAGCCTTTGATGCACTGGTTTCGGAGTCCATATGATGAATTTCAGCTGGAGGCTTGGACTGCTCCGGCATGTAACAAGACTCGGACCCATACCGGCCATGCCGATAACTTCAACCCCCTCTAACCTGAACGGCACAAAACGCCGGCTCCGTTTGTTCTCTCTCTCTGTCTGCGGGACAAGGGGCGAGGTCTTGTCTTGTCTTGTCTCGTCTCCGACCCTGCAGGCTCACTCCAAGCTTCCCACGCCAAAGTCCGGGCATCGCCCTTGTGACCTAAGCGGCCAAGGGCCACCACAGCCCTCGCCCGCACGAAGCAGTCCTGCGGTAGGCAGGCTCCACGGGTCACCTTCCTGGAGCAAATGACGTTCCGTCATGCCTCGTCAGCCAAGCGTAAGGACACTTTGGACACAGCCACCACATCCTGGCGCAAACGGCTTGTAGAACCACCACTCTCACACACGCGAAGAAGGAATCGGTTGACTGTGAGACCTCTGGCTCTGCCACCTCAGCGACGGCATCCACAGCAGCCTGTGGAAAAGACATCGGCACGTCAGCGAGTTACATCATTCACGCAACATAGTCTGACATCAGCAGTGTGCTATGGGCCCCCGCCTCCCGCACGAAGATGTCCTCGTCCTGCCACAGCTGCAAGAACCGATTTTCACATCACCCACTTGCACATCCACCTCGAGATGCTTGTAGAGCAGTGCCAGGTGGTTTTCCTCTCCACGGCCTGCCACCTTCTGAGACCAGGCGAGCATGCAAAGGAGATGTTGTCGAGGTGCCAGGGTTGCAAAGCAAGCTTTAGGCTGGAAGTCTACGTCGTCTACGCTACACAGTGCATATCTTGCCAGTGGTGCTCTGACTTTCCTTAATCGCCTTTTTCTTGCGAGCCCTCGGTTCAATAACTTTACGAGTAGCCGTGGCTTGAGAGGCTGCTGCGATAGCCGGATAGTCACAGCAGAAGCAACTCTGTGGGGTGTTCTGTCCAGCACCAGCCGCTTTCCAATACCGGAGGCTGGCCCGCTGCTATGGAGCAGGCGGGGTAGAGGTATGTGACGATCGAGTGGGGCAGCATCTCGTTACGGTCAAAATAACCCACTACTCCCATTCCCTCCCGTGGTTTAGGCGCCGAGCTCGTGCTTGGTTTCCCGACAGCGGGAAACTAAACTTAAACGAAGTAAGACGCAAGATAAGAAGCTCTTGACAATGTGGTGATACGGTAAGCAGTCGACTGGCAAAGGACTTTAGGATGCGAGGCTGGCTCCCTCCAACTGTCACCACCTTTGATGGTCAAGGCGGAAGTTCTGGCGGTCCACCAGTTCCGAAGTCTTGGTCTTTCAGTTGGCTATCAGTTGGTTAAACTTGCTGCCCTCTCCGAACTCGATACCTTGTCCCGTCCCCTGTACTGCCCAACAGCTGGCTGTGCCTGTTTAAGTGTGTCCACGGCCGTCTTTCTGGCGAACCAATCCTCGTCCTTCAAGAGCTCCCGGCAGGCGCCCAGGGTCTCGCGAGGTCACCGTCTGACCGTGGCTGAAACCCCGCTTCAGCGAGGCAGCGAGGCCTTGGCATCCCCGCGCGGAGCATCTTTGCCAAAGCCGTCCAAGCGCTTCCGATGCCTGCTACAGGGACAAAGGACTGTGCAACTGGACACGAGCAGAGACGGATGCGACGCCTGTGCAGCTCTTGTGCCCTGGACACCACGGCACTTCGGAGCGTGGTCCGAAGCAAACCCTCGGCCTTGGCTGGAGCAGGCAAACATGCCGCAAAGTTCTGATACCCCACTGCCTTCGGCACAAGACGCCCCAGAGCGACTAGCCTCACAAGACAGACGCGGCCCTAGGGAACTTGATGCATGCATGGTCCATCGCCTCATCTCTCCGCGGGCGACGGCCCATCACTCCGAGCCAGGCTCGGGCTCTCGCGCAAGGGCGCTCTCTCACAAGCTTCTGCCACACACACCCGCACCGCCACTCACACGCCCGCGCCAATTTTTTTTGTCAGGCTTCCGCCGTTGAAGGATCCGGCCGGCCGAGCCCCCGGAAAGTTAGCTTCGGGTTGGGGTGATCGAGACTTCGGGGCAAAGGGAGCCGAGTTGAGGTGTCGCAGGAGGCTCGGCCAGGCTGATGAGGCGTGCTCAGGTGCCGTACTTGCCGGTGCGGGAGGGCCTGGCAGAGTTCCAATTCTAGCATCGGCTTCTGTAGAATGGAGTATACGAGTACTGGAAGATTGCAGGCGTCCAGAAGCCTCATGCGATACTTGGCGATGACACGCGTCTCGTAGTCGCTTCGCTGGTCCACCTGTTGCTCTTGCCCCCTGCATGACAATGGCAGCAACAGCTCCGGCAGTACCTTGCTCGGGTCGTACTCCTCCTCGTTCCAGTCCGCCTGAGAGGCCCGCAAGCGAGAGACGGACAGGCGACACGAACGGGTCAGGCCGACAGAGAGGCAGAGAGGCGGATGGACCCAAGAAATCCCGAGAGCAGGATTCCTAAGTCCGAGCCGTGGACCAGGAGACACCGGAAGACTTGCAGACCCTTTTCGAAGTTGAACAGGGCTGCTCGTGGGGACGAGATGGCGGGACAGCCAATGGCAGGTATTTCAAGGCCGTCATGTGCGCAGGTCCCAGCCCCTTTTTCCCCAAGTGGGCCACCAGGCCTCTTGCAACAGAGCGACGTATGCAGAAGCAGCTTACAGAAGCAAGGCTCTGTGTCAGAAAGCTGCCTGCACTCCGAGTGTTTGAAAGATTTGACGCGGCAGATGGCAGATGGAATATGCAGACAGACACAAGGACAAACGAAAAGCGAAGAAAGAACGGCAGGGGGCCCGAGCGGAACCCCATGAAGAGTCAACTGCACGCAAAACACGGGTGTCGGGCCATGTCCTGCTTCCAGACAGGGAGGGGATACCTCGCGAAAATCGCTTGCAAAGAGCATGGCGGCACAATTGTTGCGGCGCACGTGTCCCATTCTTGCTGCGGATACTCAGGATCTGGAATCTCATCCTCGCGTCCGTCAAGGCGGAGGTCGGCATACCTAATCAAGCTTCATGAATCAAGACATCCCGGAGAAAGAAGAGATGTTGCAGGTGCCTCTTGTCCATTTCCGTGCGTTCCTGTCAGTGTGGGGTCTAGGCACGAGTGCATGGCCAGCATGCAAGGCCATGCCGCACTCTGCCTTGTCAATGGGGATGATGTTCCTCTTGCCAACCATACCACGCAGAAAGTACCTGAGTCTGAGTGGAGCCGTGCCGAGGGAAAGAGTCAGTCAGCTAGTTGAACATTGAATGCCTGCAGTCAGTGGCGAGCGCACGCATTCTTGTTGCGTCCAATGAAGCCTCGCCTCATTACCTGAATCCTGGTGATCAGTGGTGAGTGCATGGGGAACTGGAACTCGTAGCCCACCTGGAGAGCAGAGCTGTCGGCCTAGCAACTCCATGATCATCTTCACTGAGGCTGCCGGCGGAGGACAGGCCCTTGCCGATCATTGCTCGGACCGTCATCGTGCGCGCGTGGTACTCCCCCCTGCGCCAGAAGTGCCAGAAGGGCCCGACTTCAGTGGCAATGCACGGGCCCAGGCCGGAAGTTCAGGATCGTGCCATCAAAGTAGGTCTCACGCAGCTGGTCCTTGGACAATCGAAGTCCCCGGACCTCCTCAACACAACAGCACAACAGCGCAGTCAGCACAGAAGCGCAGTGCCCTCGTGCTGCACTCTTCGTCCTTGTCGCCGGAGCCAGGTTTGGCCTCCAAGTAATAGACGCGCACCGTGTCGCCTGCCTGCGCGAGGCTTCGGCCCGCTCCTCCCTTGCCCCGATTATCGGCTCTTTTTTCGCCTGGAGCCGGTGCGGGAAGAAGTCCACTGGCTTCTTGTAGATATCGAAGAACTTCATGTTTACCTTGCATGTCGGAGACACGCTTCCGGCTGTGCTACGAGTGCTCGCAGTTTTGCCTTGTGGCGGTCAATGTGGCGGCGATTGTACCAAGCTTTCGGTGGCTCCTTCCAGGGCAAGGGGCTGTGAGCTCTGACGGGAATCGGGACTTTCTTCCTATCGAGTCCTCGTCGAAGGCATAGTCCGATTTCAAGGCCTGCGGCCGAACACGAGCATAAGTTGGAGTTAACGGGTTGGAGCCGGGTCAAGACTCTGTCGGGCGGCAACGCTGGACTCCTCATCCTCATCATCGAACTGCCAATCAGGCGGCGCAAGCATGGCAGTGAGGTGTCACTTTCGCGCCAGTGCACCTCCTCGTCCTCGTCCTCGTATTCCTCTTCGTCAACCTCGTCCTGGTAGGTGCTGACATGTCAGTCTTACATGTGCAAGTCAAGCCTTACTGCATCGGCTCAACTGAGGTCAGGTCCAATGCCTTCAGCGAGTGCTTTCTTCAATCTTGCTTAAGATGGCATTTTGGCAGCCGCGCTGCAGCCCGCACCTCGTTGTCTGGCTCCGCTCGCCGCACAGCTCGAGGGGCCTTGAATACATTTGGTGACGGTGTTCTACAGATTGGCTTGCAAGCTTCTGGTGCACCTCTGGCCGCACCCCCAGCGACGTCCCAACGAAAGCGTCGCTGGGCCTCTGCGCATTTAGGCGTGCGCGAAGAAATCAATCACCAAGATCACCCGCCTCAAGACTAGCGCGAGCGGCGCCAGCAGCGCTGCCACAAGAACCGGGAAGTGCCGTGCCTCGCCGCTCAACTTAGCTTCCCTCTTCCTCTTTTTGTCCTGTGCCTGTGCCCTACATTGGGTCGCCTTGGCCATGGCGGCGGGCCCGGCGCGGCTGCAGCACGGCAGTGCTGCGGGCAGCCGTGCCGTGTGCACTTCTGAGCAGGAAGGTGGCAGGCGGCCGGGGTCACGCGGCAAGCGGCTGTGCGACGGCCTGTGCTCCAGCACGGGTTTCGAAGTGCTTCACACTTGCAACATCCCTTCAAGCTGCGCAGGAGCCTCGAATCAATGACCCACACTTCCAATTGGAGGCATGCAAGCGAGTGACAGCACTGCATGGTTGCAATGAAAGCGGAATGCCATTTCTGACATCATGAATGCCCGTCCGCGTTGGAGTCCAGCTGCTAAAGGTGAGCAACTAGAGTACAAGTAGCATTAACAAACGAAGCCAGACTGGGCATGCAGCATCCCTCGAGGGTGTGCGACACGCTTCTCGGCTCCATACAAGCACTAGCAAAAGACTTTAAAATCTGGACGTGAAGGATCAGAACACCTCTCGTCTCACAGTATGCCCATCCGCACTGTACATGCCGTACATCCGCTCTATATCCCTATCCACAGCTTGCATTGAAGTTTGCATCTCAGACTGGGATGACTGCTCGTCCCGCCGCCTCAGGATGCACTTTGGTCAGCTTGCAATCCATATCTGAAGCCAAAGGTGTCCCTCTTGCAGGCGAGAATCAGAATGTATGCCTCAAGATATGAACCAGGTGACTGGAGAGTGCACTCTCTGCAACAAATAGAGAAGCAAGCCTGTACAACTGCTGCATACGGTTGAACAAGGTGCGAAAGCGGTGTGCATCCTATACGCTGATACGCTTGCTGACCTGCTGAAGGCTGAAGGGTGCTCGTTCTTGCATCTACAGATAGTTCACGCTCGTGCGCTTTCGTGCAGGGTGGACGCTTGTGCTCGCGATGCCATACACTGCGAGGGGTTGGTCCATCCCTTGCTGCGTGGAGCCGAGATGCCTCCAGGAACTCTTGCTTTTGCAGAATGTCCTGAACCGGCATGGGCAACTTGTGGCAAATCTAGAGTCCTAGACAGCACGAAGAGCCGTCAATCCTGAAGTGTGTACGCAAGGCTGGTCATGTCCGAGTCTGGATCCGCGATCCGGCCCCAGTTGCCTGTGCTTCATTGCTGTGGTTTCAGCGTCATTTGCCACAGGAACATATGATGCATGGCCTCCTGTCATCTTCAGCAGAACTCTCCTTAGCATGATTGATGGGGCTGGATCATAGCTTACAGTGTCTCAAATCACGGGTAAAGGATTATGAGGGTTCTCTCTCCAGACAAGACTCTGGCCAACAAACTGCAGCTGGCATCTCGAAACGCAGGTTAAGAACACAAACCTGTTTTGCACCACAGCGATGAATTCTGCCATCTCAGAGAGGTCAACTGGGATGACCTTGTCCTTGGGCTGCTGTAGGACGCACTTCTTGCAAGAGATGTGCAATTCTTCTGCAGGAAGGGAGCCATGTTTGGCATCGAGTCTATGCTCGAATGCAGATTGTTCAGCAGATCTACCAAAACACCAAGTAGTCCCGCAAAGCCCACTGTGTGGTTGGCCTTGCAAGACGTGTGCGACCCCTTTCTTGCCAGCAGTCAAGGGTGCAAGGAAGTGTTGGCTCTGCATCTTGTCGCGCCTTCGCATTCGCAACGCAGTTTGGAAGAAACTCGAGCATGAAGGCTTGCTCCTGCATTTCTCAAGCTGCACATTCTGCCATTTCACTTGCCCAGAATGCTTGAGGTCTTTGGAATTCACCTTATCGCCCGCCCGCCTGAATGCCATCAGCCAGGAAGTGATCTATCAAGGCCATCCGCTCCCGTGCTTTTAACGCATCCCATGACGTTCGTAGCTGCAGGTAATCTTTCTCGTCTTGGACTCGTGCCAAACATGAGAGGCGAACCAGCACAAGGTCCTTCCCAACACAAATAAACAAAATGGCGTGAGCTCTGTTTATACGGTATTGGCAACTTGCAGTCCTCCGCAGAACTGAAGTTCATGTTCAATTTGCGGGCTCTCTCGTCCAAGTAGCCCCAATAAATCGCAGCCGGTGAGCACTCCATGAGGCGTTTCAGCAAACGAATGCCACTGATGACTGCAGATGCATTCCTCGGAAGCTTGGGCTTGCACATCCAGCAGCAGTTGACTTCAAATCTGGATCTGCCCTTTTGCGAGAAATGCTTGCCGAATGTCTTGCCGTTCATGAAGCGAGAACCCGTTCCTGCTGCAATTCCACTCATGAACCCGAGCAAGAACAGGATGTAGAAGCGGAACTGCTCTTCACCTCAATGACACCCCAATGGTTCGATGCAGCCATGCAGCCACAGCAATCTATTTGGTGGCGACTGAGACGACGACTTTTCCCCTCTATGCACTTGCGCAGTTGCACAATGTTTGCCGGAAGGTTTTCGCCTTGCAACATTTGGGCAAGGTTGAAGAGCTCATGAATCTCGAGGGCGTTCTCAATGCACTTCCTGGGTCGCTCTCAGCATGGATTTAAGCGCTGATTTGTTGCAAACCCCCCAGCCACTGACAGCACTTGACATGAACCGACAACACTGCACACTTTGTTCCGATCCTCGAAATGATTTACATGTTATACATACATATATATATATATAGAGAGCACTAGTTTCTATATCATACTTTGCGATACGAAGCTGCACTATACTGCACTAGACTATACGATGCGATCCGGCGCGGTGCTCTGCTAGACTGTGCCAGAATATTTCGTATCGTCTTATCATCTTATGCTTATCCGATTATGTCCTATAATTTACTACACTCCACTGCACTACACATACTCAAATGGCTGCCAGTACTGCATTGCATATCATTCCCCACAGAAAATCATGTGAGACAGCCTAAGGCCAACACGCCCCGCGTTCAGATATCCACCAGACTGATGGCACGACATTCTTCTCGCCTCGGCAAACGCAGATTGATCCGCATGTGTGCACCCACGCCCGACACACTGGGTGGCGCTGCCAGCCATCTTGCGGCAGTTGCGAGACGGCTGATGATGACACGAGAATGAGTACACGCAGCACAAATGACAGAGCAAGCGGTGTGGGGCAGGGGTGATTCAAAGATACTGCAGCTGTCCAAGCCTTACACAACTCCTATACAACTGCAAGCCCGACAATGTGAAGGATCTTCCCACATCTAGGCAAACGTCCCCAAGCCCTCGGCGAGCCTACTTCGGGCCATTCAGAGCGGCTACAACAACCGGGACAAACGACAGTGCAGCCGTAGCCGAAGCGTAGCTGGGAAATCAGAGTGACATGCACAGCTAAACAGCTAAACCACAAGCACCACAAAACTCTCGTGTGCCTTGCGGGACGGTTGCAGTGGGCAACAATTTAAAACAAAGGCAAGTCCTTGCACCACTACTGTGATGCTACAAATAGCTGCCATGCCTGGTAGCTGACTGAGTGACGGAGTGCGTACAGGCGGGCATGAAGGTGCAGGCAGGCAGGCGTGACGGGCGGAGGTACGCGCATCTTTGGACTTTCCTCTGAATGTACACAAATACCACACATAGCCGTACTGGACAACTCCCGACTACCGCGATTGAAGCGGGGTCGCTGGCCATAAGCTGAAGTATTGCCTTCTCCGGACGTCTCATCTCTCGCGGCATCTGCTGCAGGACAGCTTTGGACTTTCCGAGAGCACGAATAGCCAGCAGAACCTGCAGGAAAGGCAGCGGCGTGCCTCAAGATCAAAGTCTCCCTGCTCAGGTCCCGGCCATTGCGGCCTGCATTTGCTCGACATCGGGATCCTTATCTGCATCGATCACGAGTTCTCCAAAGATACTAAAGGCAAGTTCGCACATTGCAGGGCAGGAATCTATCCAACTCATGAGTGTCTGCAGCTCCGACCACTGCGTCTCATCCAGCCGTTGATGAGGACCCTGTGGATGAGTGAAGATGTCGTAGCGGTTCTTGAAAAGCGCCAACACGCTTATGCACGAGGACTCTGCCCTCTCTCTTTCAGCCGGCTGCTCAAACACCACATGTGGACTGTGCTCGAAGTGCAGCTCGGGAATAACAAGCTGTAATTCTTGGGCCAGCTTGTACGTTTCCATGGCACGGACACCCAAGCCTTTCAAGTACAAGTCCAAGCCGGGGTTGATGTTCTCAGCAGAAACATCCAGGCGAGGCCACAGGCTTGTAATCGAGGCATCTGGATGAACCTGAAAATGCTCAACGTTCGATTCCGAGCCGTCAGAATTCCTCAGCTCCTGATCCTGGGCTGTGCCTGTCGCAAGCCTTCCTGGCTTGCGGATGAAGCGCAAGATTGAGAAGCTTTTGGAGCTGGTGGCGGCGGCATCGCCTCGCTTCAAAGGGATTGTGATGTTCTTGAGCTGCGTCTTTGGGTCTGGAAAAAGCTCCTGGTAGTGTTGGTTTTTCCTGCAACATGTAGCGGCGCAGGTAACCTGCTCTTCATCTCCACACTTCGTCTTGCTGGTCTGCATGGCAGACACGAACTCCTGCGCCAATGACGGGAAGCAAACCTGCGCACTCTCAGCGGCCTAAAGTCCAAATTCCTCTAGTTGGGTCCTTGGCATAATCGCAGAACATGGTGGTGCCTCTGCAGGCCGGCGGGGAGTTTCGTGCAAAAATTTCAGACAGACTCGTCGTCGAGCCGAGGTGCATCCGCGCGACTGGCTTACGCAACGTGCCAGGTCTGGCCCTCGAAGAGAGAACGTCTCACAGAAGGTCTGCGCCGAAAGCGTCGACCTCGGCTCCCAACAGGCACTGCACACACTGCACAGAAGCACAGGGTTTGCAGAGGGCTCCGGCTGATGCAAAGTGCCGTCGGCATAGAGCGACAACTCCCCGAACCACTTGGTGCCTGTGAACTCTGCAGCATCACCTTCGGCGTCAAAACCTGTCGGCACCACAAACTCCTAGTTCGCACAATGGCGCATGCTTGAGTTCGTATGTTTCCAAAAGTTACGGGGCTGCAGGTGTGCACCGATCTACCGATGATCTACCCCGACCCTGAGACGCTTGAGCTGGGCTGGAGCAAAGCATCCTTTCGACACTTGATCCCGCCGCTGCAAAGGCCCGTTCCCCATCCCCGTTCCCTGCTGCGCACGAAATCACAGAAAGCCACCTAACATGTACCAAGATGATGCTGAAGACGGCCTAAGGTGGGGCAACACACATTCTAGCGACGTTGCTTGCTCGTGGAAAAGCAACAAACAAATTCACTCTAAGGTCTGCGGTCTGCAGATATCACGCCATCGGTTTGGCCTTCGATGTAGCTGTAGGTGCCAGTAGCAGTGATGTGAAGGCAAGACACCCAAGAACCAGCAATAAATATGTGTTCGCCCTTCTCATACACGTGCTTCTCCAGGGCTGCGCAGAGGGAGCCGAAAACGTCTGAGTAGCACTCCTGCAGGAGCTTGAAAATCGGAAGCTCAAGCACGTGGATGCTTCTTTGACTCACATACAGTTCCAGTTGCAGCGTGGGCGAGATCAACGATGTATCTAAAGACGTGGATGAAAACTTTTCCAGTCGATACTCAACGAAGCGCATGATTCGGGACACCAGCTCGAAAGGCACATGTTGGTGACTGAGATATTGTCTCACTTCTCGTCGCCGGCGGTCCCTTGCTTCGTTCATAGCACGTAGCTCGGCGAGTGTGTCGGAAATCTTCGAAATTCCCATACCCATCGCAGCGAGAGTAAAAATGGACACTAGAATGTCCGCGCCCCTTTCCAAGCCACTCCCTGCATCCAAGAGTGGGGGCGCTGGTGCATTGATTATCCAGCGCATAGCATGAAGGTATTGGACCCATTCCGGAATGCTGTCAGCATCTGCGAGCTGGGTCCAGCTTTGGACTTCTTCGGTCTCTTCCATACTACGTCCGATCGCATACCACATGCATGTCAGTAGGTGTGCACAGAAAGCCATGCCGATCGCAGTGCTTGTGATGCCAGTGATAACCGTAACCGACTGATGCCCGCTATTCGCTGCGCTTTCTTCGATAATGGCATTGACCCTCGTAAGCTTCAATATTCGCAAGAGTCGGAACAGTCTCAGAATCCGCGAGACCCGAAACAGCCGAAGTTCTTCCGTCAAGCTTGTCTCGGACAGGCCATACCCGACATCAAGAGTCAGCAAAAGCACGTCGAAAAACAACCAGCCGCGCATGTAGCTCGCAAGAATGGCCGAGTATCCTGTCTTCAAAACTCCTTTGTGGTAGGTGGCGGTGTTCATGTTCACGAACAAATCAGCGGTCCAAAACGCTAAACTTATCCAGAAGCTGAACCACAAGAAAGAACCGAAGCCCTCGGATATCCCCATTTTCACGTTCCAGGCCAAAGCGGGTGGCAATGTGATGCCGTCCCCGACTATCAACACCATGGAGCTGATGTCCCAGCAAATCCTGAAAGCGCCATACGGGTGGAACGGCTTAATGACCTCACTGTTGGGGAGCTTGGAATGCCGCCCACCGATCATACTCAAGCGCGCATAAGCCTTCTGCCTTGTGTTGGTGGATGGGCCCTCGACAGCAACACTCTGGGTGGCCATGTCCATCCATCGGCTGTGCAGACGGATCTGGGTGCCGGCATCTGCAGCTTCAGACCGAGATGCCACAGCGCCTGTCTTAGATGCAGAAGCATGCCTTCTTGCAGCCCTCATCTGCCTGTAAGAAAGAATAGCACCAGGTTCTTGCAAAGTGTCGGGCGGCACAGTGGGAAGACGTTGTGACCCTTCTTGCTGCTTCGACAGAACACCTCCTGAAGCTTCCACTGTCTCCATGACGCAGCGCAAGCCCTTCACCTGCCTGCTTGCAGTTTCTAAGGATTGAAGAGAGCGCTGCAACTCTTCTTCGATGCCGGCGACCTTTTCCCACATCTTGTGCCCGGCAACCATTGCAGCTGGTGCCCCTAAACAAGACCTTCATTCAAGCTTGAGCCAAAATCGACACGTCAGAGCTGCGGGGGCCTTGGGCCATCGATCGTTGTCCAGGTTTGAAACTGCTCCTTCAGATACGCTGAAATGTGAAGAACAAGTTGACAGACCTACACGTGGAGCCAGTCCTTCGCAGCAACCCCTGAAGCACCAGCGTCAGATCTTTACGAGCGCGATTTTGACTCGGAGAGTCTAGCGTCACTCGCGGCAGATAGAGGCCGTCAAGTCAAAACAAATGCTTGTGCAAGAATGCAAGACATTGTGCGCAGCTTCCTTGGCGGTGGCACGAAGGGCATGAACATGACCCCTCATCTGGGTCACGAGCACCTTGACATTAACGCACCGGCAGGGCATCACAGACCGGCCTGTGCATGACATCACAGGACAGTCAGTGCTAAACTGTCCACAAAAGAGCTTGCGAGCGCAGCAGCTTTTAGGACGGGGAACTCCAGCAAGCACATGAGCTGCCTGGAAGACATGCTTGGGCCGACCTTGGCAGGAGCGCATCCGCATCCGGTTCGCGGTAGCGTAAGGAGCGAAAGGCCATGGCCACTCGGTAAGTGACTTGGGACAAAGGGCCTTGCGTTGGGGGCCATGCGAGAACCCCACGGCCCCGACCGTGGTCCCGTTGAAAGGGAGAATCAGATAATCAGCTTGAGAGTCGCCAGGGCCGCCGGGGCCCAGGCGCGACGGCCGCGACGACGTTTGTCAGATCCACGAGGCTCGCGATCGCGATGCGACGCGAGGCGCGGGCGGGGCCCCGCCGGGCGCTGGCCCGACCTGGGCCAGGCCGCCATCGCCGCTCAGCGACCAAAGCCAGGTCTCACACGGCTTACGGCCCCCGCCGTCGCCGTCACGCGCTCGGTGAAAGGACCCCCCCTCCTGCATGCGCTTCTCAGCCAGAGGACCAAGTCGGCCCAAGAACCGTGTTGCCGCGAGGGGGTTGCATCGGAACTGCTGAGCAAGGCAAGATCTCTGGCACTGGCTGGCTTGGGAACATGCAGCCGGTCAGCCGGCTGCTATGAGGAGTCTCTCGTTTCTGTGGCCACGAGCTTGCTGCCGAAGTAAGCACGCTGGAAAGCGTCCGTCTCCCCTTGAGGCAACTGGAGTGGTAGACACACACGGTGAGACAGGTCGGAGCTGCTTGCAACACCTGTGCCTTTAGAACCGGGCCGTCTGCAGGGGTGTTGAAACGAAAAGGATGGATCCCTGACAGACAGCTTCGCGCAGTCACAACTCATGCGCACTTTCAATCCCAAAATGATGACTCCAGGCTCAGCCCAACCCTTTCCACAGTGAGAAGTGTACCAGCACCGGGGTGTCGCTATGTTTGCACACACACCAGAAAGCCAGAGCCACTCAACTAGGCCACGGAGTAGCTAGATCAAAGCACTCACGCTCAGACCGAACTGGCTGTGTGCCAGTCTGCGACTGGTACCTGACTCTGACGGCTCATGGGCTGGCAAGAATAAATGCAAGCTCTGCAGGACACTGCAGGATAGTGGACAGCAACATGGCTGTACTTTGCAAGGCTCACACGGGCGATTCTCTGGGAGCGACGGGGTGATTGTCTTTGTTACTGCATTATGTGCAAGGCCGCAGCCAAAGACCGCTGGAGCTCGACTTTGCTGATGCTTTTCTGGAGATTTTCTGCATGGTTGCTGCCTTCTGTAGACGAAAATCAAAAACTCCACGGAAACTCCTGGGGGAAATTGTGTGGCACGCCCATCGGTGGTATGATCCGCCGCTCCCTCGCGTGTTCGTGTGAGGCTGGCCGCTGCATACAGAAGCTGCGCATAGATTGCGTACTTCGTCAACACCTGCACCTATAGACCTAAACCCGCGTGCACTTCCGCAAGGTTGGGGCTCGGATCTGCTGCATCCGCTCCGGCCAAAGCCGGTGCCGAGCCCTTCTTAAAGGGTCGGACGATGAAGCTTTCACAATCACGACTGCACTATGCAGTCCACGGCTGTACCCGGGCCAATACATTCTGTTAAACTGGACAAGACTTAGCTTGATGTAGCCCGAGTTGTAAGAGACGGCAGAAAACAAGGAATCACTTTGCAAAATGACGGCACGGCTGTGAGTATCTCCACGCCAACTTCAGAGACAAGCAGCCCATCAACGTTGAACTTCTTTGCATCATCCTTCAAGCA